GGTGTCTTCGCACCTGGCGCACTGCTGCGCCCTGATGGCTCCAAAGTTAGAGGCGGAACTCACCCGCGCAACTGCATTGTCCGCCCCAAAGCCGCGCTGAGTCACCAGCCCTTCCCTCTACTCGAACCAGGGACCAATCGCTACGCCAAGTTAGAGAAGGTTTACAGTGATTTCCTCAACGTAGGTCACTGCTGCATCAACGATGAGCTCTACACACTCACCTTCGTCGACGCCGGAACGCCCACGTATGGGCCGTAAACGTGGAAGCACGTAGCAGAGCCTACGAAGCATTCCGCCTATGGCTAGCGCACGCGCAGCGGCAATCTGGAGAGAAATTAAAGATATGGCAGTCCGATGGCGCAGCGGAGTTTAGGAGCAAGGAGCTGCAGGATTTCCTCTCGCAAAAGGGCATCGAGCATCACATCTCTCTCCCCTACGCGCACCAGCAGTAGGGCGTAGCAGAACGCACGAATTGCACCCTCATGACGAAGGTGCGGGCACTAATGAGACAGGCGAAGCTCCCGCCAATCTACTGGACCTACGCAATGCACCACGCGGTACGGGTGCACAATCTGCTGTCAACCACCGCAATCACCGGCAACTCCTCGCTGCATGTGAAATGGATGGGAAGAAAAGGAGACACCTCCATGCTCCGCGTCTGGGGGTGCATGGTTCAATACCGATCGCCAACGTCAACCATCAGGAAGTTCAAGAGCCGCGCGCGCTGGGGAATCCACCTCGGCATCAGTCACGAACACAAGGCATGGATCATTCTGGATCTCCTAAGCCAGAAAATCAAAAATGCGCGTGACATTATCTTCTATGAGCGGCTGTTTTTGCAGCAATTCTGTGAGGACGAGCAAACGAACGCAAACCCTGTCCACGCCAACGAGGGCCACAGCTACGCTTCACCTGAGGACGAAGCTGCAGCGGCGATTCTGGAACAAGATCCCAGAGGGGAGTTTACAAGGGGCGATCGCCGCGACGACGACGACGACGATGATTCAGGAGAAGGAGGAGCGGGCGCAACAGGAGGCACAGCAGGAGGAAGCACAGCAGGAGGAAGCAGAAACAGCGGAGACACAGCACTGCCAGCAGCGCCTGAACCAGAAAGCGACGATGACGACGTACACGAAGTCGTCACCCAACATCGCCATGACAGCACCATCACTGGCCTTCAACTCCTGGGACTGCACACTGCCGTTTCCACTGCTCCGCATATCATCGAGCCTAAGAACCCACGACAAGCCCTCACAGGGCCACACAGCAAAGAGTGGCACGAGGCAATGGATGCGGAGATTCGGGCGCTTGAGTCGCGCGACACTTGGGTGCTCGTCGACCGTGCAGCAGTGAAAGGCAGAAGGATCCTCTCCGGAAAATGGGTCTTCCGCGTGAAGACGGGAGCTCACGGAACGATTGAGCGATTCAAGGCGCGCTGGGTGGTGCGCGGCTACGATCAGAGGCACGGGATTGACTTCGACCAGACGTTTGCGCCGGTCAGTCGTCACACTTCTGTCAGAATTCTGCTCGCCATTGCAGCTGCACGTCACCTACCACTTTGGCAGATCGATGTGAAGAATGCCTTCCTGTACGCGTTAGTGGACGCTTTGATCTACGTGGAACAGCCACACACATACGGCGACGGGGATCCACGCGTCTGCCAGCTGCGTAAGTCCCTCTACGGGATCAAACAGGCAACAAGGCTCTAGCAGCATTACCTGCACAGCAGCAGTACCTGCACAACATACTGTTTGAGATCGGATTCAAGCAGCTGCCTCACGATCCTGGGATATATCGCCGCAATTTCCACGGCGAATACATCCTACTCACGGTCTACGTCGACGACCTCCTCTACACAGGCTCAAGCAACGAACTGCTCGAGCAGTTTGAGAAGAGCCTCGCAGGGCGCGTCGACATTACCTGCAATCATGACGTGAAGCAGTTTCTCGGACTCAACATCACCTACTCGCCGGAAGCCATTCATCTCTCAGCAGCGAAGTATGCGGAGGAGCTTAGCAAGCGCTTCAACATTGCGCCTGCACCACTCTCCACCCCTTACCGCACTCCAGGACCCAACTACAAGGTTGACAACAAAGCCCTGTCCCCTGCTGGGCTTCACACTTACCAGCAGCAGTTGGGATGCCTGCTTTTCGCATCCGTCACCTGCAGGCCCGACCTATCCTACATTGCGAGCCAGTTGGCTCAGTACTCACGCAAACCAACGGCTGAGAACCTCTCAGATCTTCAGCGAGCCCTTCAATTCTTCATCTCCACGCCCAATGTCGGGCTCAGCTACTCCACCGTCCCAACCGCATCCTTCAGTCTCGTCGGCTACGTGGATGCTGATCACGCCGCTGATCCTGACAATCGACGGTCGAGGACAGGGTTCCTCTTCCGCCTCGAGCCCAGCGGCCCCATCTCCTGGAATTCTCAGAGGCACGAGTTGGTTGCCCTGTCATCGGCGGAAGCTGAATTCGTCACAGCAACAGCAGCTGTTCGCGAAGGTCTCTACATTCAAGAGCTGTTGCAGGACGCAAAAATCCTGGCCTCAACCAACTTTCACCTGCACTGCGATAACCAAAGCGCAATCAGGATCACGAACAAACCTGGCTTCGTCAACCGCACCAAGCACATCGCACTGCAGTACTTCTTTGTCAAGGACGAAGTTGACAAAGGCAAAGTTGACCTGACATACTGCCCAACGGGTAACATGGCAGCAGACTTCCTCACAAAGAAACTGCCGCGTCAGCAGTACCAGCACTGCTCCGAACTCAGCGGAGTAGTCAAGCGGGTCAACACTCGCTACGGCCAGGAGTGAAGGGGGGTGTTAGGAATAGTAATATTTGATATTACTGAACACTCCTCATCGTAGCAAAGGAACACACAATATCGGGAATGAACGCGAAGCGTCAGACGGTTGGAATTGAATCGAAGAGTCAGACGGTTACAGCACATCTGGACCGTCGGGAGCAGACGGCATCTGGCAGCTGCAGGCAGGATGGTTTTGGCGGGAACAGTTACGAAACTGTACGCGCCGAACAGTTGGGATGCATTTGAATAAGGGAATGTACCCCTTAGAGTACATGGCTAGTTAGGTCGTTTCGAATTCCCCTGTACTCATATATATTCCTTGTACTGCATGTTTTTATCATCTCAAGCATCTACATTCACTCTGCTATTGAGGTCAAGGGCCCACCACCACTTCACTAGAACCTTGCGAACCTTCTTGAGGTGATCCTGGTTACAATCCCTTGCTGATCGCAACACCGGGTACACTTATTAATCAAGTACACTTATGCGATTTAGGGGTGTACACCCGAATTTGAAGAGGGGGGGGGGGGGGGGGGGGGGGGGTCTTATGTTCGATTCGAACCAAAAAAATCCGGCCATTTTCAGGTGCATGCAACTTAGCCTAGGAACGCTGTTCAAGGGTGTTACGATGTGAAGTTTTATGAGAAGGCATTCCTGTATGGTGCATGAGCCGACTCTACCGAGTACGAAGTTGAGGAGTCAGAAGAGTCGAAGCGACGCAGCAACCGTCAGACCAAGACCGATGCAGGCAGAAAAATTTGAAGTGAAAAGAGCGGGAACAGGTTTTTAACGGGTTCCCGCGCCGCACGGTTTTGAATTCAGTTGTAATAAGGGAATGTACCCCTTAGAGTACATGGCTAGTATATAAACTCGATGTATGCATGCTATTATCAACTCAGTCATTTACATTCACTCTAACCTGAGATTCAAACTTCCGCTGCAACACTACTCCGCGATCAACCCTGAGCGATCCTTTCCTAAGTCCCACTTGGGATTGTAACATGGTATGAGAGCTACTCAGGGATTCTTCGCAACTTCACTTCCGTGAAATTCGCCGAATCAAGACCTGGCGAGCGGCACACGCTCCAAGACCAAGATGGCCAGAGGATTCGGAGGCCAAGCAAATTTGACGGCTGAAGGACAACCCAATCCAGCTGCGACAAGTGAGGCGACAACCACGATCGGCACTGCCGCCCTCGAGCAACTTTTCGCTCGACTTTCAACTATGGAGAAAGAACTCCAAGAACTGCGCAAAGGCGATGCGGGAGTCTCTTCCCAACCAGCACAACCTGGACAACCGGCTGAGAAAATTCGTGATACCGCCGCGTACACCTTCTCCCTCGACACAGACAAATCAGCAACAACTGCCCCCTGTCCAAGTGATGAGGCTATCAACTCTACGCAAACACGCTTCCTCAGCGTTTCAAAGATTAAGACTACTGCCGCGTTTGACGGCAAGGATTTTTACACATGGAGTTTTGAGCTGGAGCTCCTCCTACAAACGGCGCAGATCTACCATTACTTCGACGGCTCCTACCCTAAACCGGCGGAAAACACTGACGTCACCAGGGCTCAGTACTACAGTGAGTCCCTCATGGCTTACAGTGTGCAGCTACGCAACATGACGCCTGCGGAACAACTCAACATACGCTCCTACAAAGGGAGCGACGCTCCAGCAATGGAAGCTTGGAAGCACCTCGTTGAAGTTTACCAGCCGAAGGATTCGGTCACCGCCAGCAGGCTTCTCCAGCAACTCCTGGAGATAAAGATGGGGCACGGGGAGAAGGCAAATCCATATATTAACCGCTGTCGCATCATCCGTGACCAGATCACGAAGCATGGGAGTACGATCTCAGAAGAGATTTTCGTCAATATAGCTGCTTTGCGCCCTTCTTTGTCTTGCCAAAGAATGATGCAGCACAAAAGAAAGTTAACTACTCTTTTATGACTGGTATGCAGAAACAAGGATAAATTTGACCCACAACTTTATGTGCCAGCGAACTGTTTAATTACCTAACCGTTAAAGATTGCTTGGAAAACAGGACTTGTAAAAAAACACATTGATGTTAGTGGTTGCGGTAGGAATGTGCAATGTGTACACAGAATTCTGAAGGAAAAGTTCCGTGTGACACTGTAACGAGGTGACGTTTGTAAAACTCACGAGTCCGTATGATGCACGTGCAATAATACTACAGCTGAGCCTTCCAGGTGAAGAGTCCTCGAGACCCTTCTGGGTAGACTCCATCACCTCAAGCCCGTCGCAGATTGAGCGGCGAGTGAGTTTGCGGGAACACGTTCTAGCGGCCAAACTTCGAGGGGCCGTGGAATGAAGTCGAAGGCGTCACTTCGACGTGACCGTTGCGAAGCCGAGGAGTAGGGGAGCAACCGCGTGGAGCCACCAGCTGCTGAGAACGCCTCGACAGGCGATTCGCGAAAAACGGGGCAGCGCGTTCGCGCGAATGAAGCCGAAGGCGCGGCTCCTGGGCCGCAGCGGCAGCAAGAAGCGGCTGGTCGTGCCACCGTCGCCGTCACCGTCGCCGGCGGTTGCGGCGGACGGCGGGATGGACGAGGGGAAGGCGGAAGAGAGGCGGAAGGAGGCGGAGCGGGAGGAGGGGAGGGAGCGCGAGCGCGGGTTGCTGGGCGTGCGGCGCAACAAGGGCGCTGGCGCGCGGTCGTGGCTGCGGATCGACCAATCAGGACAGACGCAGGTGTGGGTCATTTGTAACGAGGGCTTGTGATTGTGTCGAACTGTATCAAGGGCGCCTCGAAAAAGAGCTGGCGTGAGGGCGTGGCGGTCTGAAATTCGTTCAGGCCGCACTGATGCCAGTGCCCTCCATCTCCCCTGTTGGTTATCTCCCCTTGCCGCCCATCTCCCCTTGCCGCCCATCTCCCCTTGCCGCCCATCTCCCCATGCCGACCATCTCCCCTTGCCGCCCATGTCCCCTTGCCGCCCATCTCCCATCCCAGCTGCTCCATGTGTCTCTGCTCCATACATGGACCCTCCATGTGTCTCTGCTCCATACATGGACCCTCCATGTGTCTCTGCTCCATACATGGACCCTCCATGTGTCTCTGCTCCATACATGGACCCTCCATGTGTCTCTGCTCCATACATGGACCCTCCATGTGTCTCTGCTCCATACATGGACCCTCCATGTGTCTCTGCTCCATACATGGACCCTCCATGTGTCTCTGCTCCATACATGGACCCTCCATGTGTCTCTGCTCCATACATGGACCCTCCATGTGTCTCTGCTCCATACATGGACCCTCCATGTGTCTCTGCTCCATACATGGACCCTCCATGTGTCTCTGCTCCATACATGGACCCTCCATGTGTCTCTGCTCCATACATGGACCCTCCATGTGTCTCTGCTCCATACATGGACCCTCCATGTGTCTCTGCTCCATACATGGACCCTCCATGTGTCTCTGCTCCATACATGGACCCTCCATGTGTCTCTGCTCCATACATGGACCCTCCATGTGTCTCTGCTCCATACATGGACCCTCCATGTGTCTCTGCTCCATACATGGACCCTCCATGTGTCTCTGCTCCATACATGGACCCTCCATGTGTCTCTGCTCCATACATGGACCCTCCATGTGTCTCTGCTCCATACATGGACCCTCCATGTGTCTCTGCTGCGGCAATTCAGGAAGCAGAAAGCGCTGAGATAGAACCAACAGGCATGACTGAAGAAGAACTCGCCATATCATCACACCGCATATTCGGTGAGCCAAGCAAGAAATTCGGCCAAGAACAGCAGGAGAGACCAAGGCCTTACTCGAACACCCTACAATTTGTACTCGAAGCCAACGCGCGCACTCTCGACGAAGAAGGACGTCCGCGCCCATACACTCGTGAAGTCTACCGCCGCGAGATTGACCCTGCCTGGAAAGATCTTGACGCACCAGAGGAGCTGAGCGTCAAAGAAGAACAGGAGAAGGCCCAAGCGGAGAAGCGGCAGAAGCTGTATGAGGAGCGCATCGCGACAGGATGGGACCCAGACTCTGCGCGCAGAGGATGGGGCAACGAGCCCGCTGATCCAGAAGAAGGCGCAACCTGGGGTTCCGCAGCTGGAGCATGGGGAACCGGCACGGTCACCACAGGAGGATGGGGAAACAACGAGCCTGACGAAGAGGAGCTCACGCAAGAGGAATTGGAGGAAGCTGAACAAGAAATACAAGCTGAGCGCGGCAAAGCATCACCTCGAGTAACCATTCCCCTCGGTCGACCCCCTCGCACTGACGAACCACCTCGCTCACCTCATTACTGGCGTGATCCCTGGTCGGAGATTGAGGAGGGGAATGTACCGCCAACACCTCCGCGAGACTCACTCAGTCCAATCTCCCGCCCAGATCCGTACGCCCGCTTCATCGAAGGCACCACGACCCCGCTCACGATCATTCCCGATCGCGAACTTCTCGCCCTGTATCTCTCAACGGCACCTGCAGAAGGGGAAGCAACGGCAGAAGCAGAAGCAGAGGAGGAGAACAACGAAGCAGAACCAGGAGAAGAGGAAGAACCCCCACTCCAGATCCTAGAACTCACAGCGGAGGAGGCAGCAGAGTACCACACCCGCTACAAGCGTACCTCCGGCATCCGTGCCGAGGATGACCTCTGGCACCAGCGGATGGGACACCCCTCGCGCCAGACACTCGCCAATTGCCTCAGTGCAAAAGTTTTTCCGCGAAGAGCACTGCTGCGCCCCGACGGGACGGAGTTACAACACACCACCCCCCATCCAACCACTTGCACTGTCTGCCCCACAGCCTCTCTCACATTGCCTATCCCTCTCTGGAGCCAAGCACCAACCGCTACAAGAAATTGGAAAAGGTGTACAGCGATTTCATCGTACTCACCTGCGTCGGACTCAACGGCAAAAAGTACAGGCTGACCTTCATCGACGACTACTCACGCCACGTGTGGGTTGCCAATGTTGACGCCCGCTCCAAAGTCCCGGAGGTGTTCCGTATCTTCCTCGCGCACGCGCAGCGACAGTCGGGAAGGAAACTGAAGATCTGGCAGAGTGATGGGGCAAAATAATTTCACAGCCATGAACTGGAGAGCGTGCTCACCGAGAAGGGGATTAAGCATGAGATTTCCCTTCCCTATGCTCACCAGCAGCAAGGCGTTGCTGAGCGGGTCAATCGGACCCTCATGACTAAAGTTTGCGCCATCATGAACCAGTACGGCCTGCCAAAGAAATTTTGGCCGTACGCCATGAATCACGCGGTGCGCCTGCACAACCTCCTCTCCACCACCGCCAACAGGGATAACCTGTCACCCAACATGAAGTGGACCGCTTCAAGGGGAGATCCCTCCACGCTGAGGGTTTGGGGGTGCATGGTGCAGTATCGGCCCACTTCGGCCACAATCGGCAAGTTCGTTCATTGTGGGCACTGGGGAGTTCATCTAGGACTCAGCCACAAGCACAAAGGATGGCTCATCCTTGACATGGACAACCAGGAAATTGTCCCTGCGCGTGACATTCTTACCTACGAACGGCTCACCTTGACGCAGTGGATCGAGGACGAACGCCGTAATCAGGCACGCGGCTACGCCAACAGCGGCCGCAGCTTCGCGACCTCTGAAGATGAAGCAGTAGCAGCAGTTCTGGACCGCGACGACACCGACGAACATCCCAGCATCCCCCCTTGCCCGCGCGACGATGATGACGATGACAGTGATGACGACCCCGCGCCAGGACCATCACGGCGCCAGACAGAACCAAGCACCGCACCACCCGGCTACGAGAGCAGAGATGACGACGTGATTGAAGTCCCCACCAACGCAGACACCACCAACGTGTCAGGCCTTCAACTTCTTGGCCTGCACACGCCCGTCTCTACTCTCGCGCGGACCGTGGAACCTAAGAACCCTCGCCAGGCCCTAACCGGCCCTCACGCCAAGGAGTGGCGTGCTGCGATGGATGCGGAACTGAAAGCACTGGAAACGCGCGACACTTGGGTCCTAGTCGATCGTGCAGCAGTGAAGGGGAGGAGGGTGCTCAGCGGGAAATGGGTTTTTCATCTCAAAACTAACGCTGACGGTACTGTTGAGCGCTTCAAAGCACGCTGGGTTGTACGCGGGTACGACCAGCGTCACGGCATAGACTTCGATCAGACCTTCGCTCCCGTCACTCGCCATACCTCGGTCCGGATTCTACTCGCTATTGCCGCCGCAAAGCACCTACCACTGCGACAGATAGACGTGAAGAACACGTTTCTATACGCGTTGGTGGATGCCACCATTTGTGGAGCAGCCGCACACCTACGGAGAAGGTGATCCCAGGGTCTGTCAACTGAAGAAGTTACTCTACGGGATCAAACAGGCGCCACGACTCTGGCAGCAGCATCTGCACAAAATCCTCCTCGAAATCGGCTTAAACAACTCCCACACGACCCAGGAATGTATCGCCTCCACTTCAGCGGCGATTACATCCTCTTGACAGTATACATAGAGGACATGCTGTATACGGGGACCTGCAACAAACTCCTCGACCTGTTTCAGGAGAACCTGGCGCAGCGCGTGGACATCACCATCAACCTCGAAGTAAAGCAGTTTTTGGGGTTAAACATCACTTACGCGCCAGAAGCAATTCATCTGTCAGCCTCCAAGTACGCAGAGCAGCTCGGGGAACGCTTCAACATCTCACCCGCACCACTCTCAACTCCTTACCGCAGCCCGAGCACCAACTACAAACCAGACAACAAACCTCTGTGGCCCGCAGGACTCCAAATGTACCAGCAGAAGTTGGGGTGCCTGCTATTTGCCTCTGTCACCTGCCGACCCGACCTTTCGTACATCGCTAGCCAGCTAGCGCAGTACTCTCGCAAGCCAGTAGCTAAGAACCAGCTAGACCTGGAGCGCGCCCTGCAGTTTTTCATCTCCACACTTGACATCGCGCTCTCCTACTCCACGCTGACGACGACCTCCTTCAACCTCAACGGCTACGTGGACGCAGACCACGCAGCTGATCCTGCAAATCGACGGTCCCGAACCGGCTTCGTTTTTTGCGTGGAACCAACAGGACCAATCTCCTGGAACTCCCAGAAGCAGGAGCTGGTTGCCCTGTCATCGGCTGAAGCAGAATACATCGCCGCGACAGCAGCAGTTCGCGAAGGCGTGTACCTGCAGGAGCTGCTGCAGGAGGCGAAAATTCCAACCTCGCCTACCTTTCGCCTTTACTGCGACAACCACAGTGCCATCAAAATCGCGAACAAGGCAGGATTCGTGAACCGCACGAAGCACATCGCACTTCGGTACTTTTTCGTCAAGGACGAAATCGACCAAGGCAAAGTGGACCTCGCTGACTGCCCGACCACTGAGATGGCAGCAGACTTCCTCACCAAGCGCGTGCCATGTCAGCAGTATAAGCACTGCTCTGATCTCACCCGAGTAGTCAAGCGAGTCAGCTCCACCCGCGCCCAGGAATGAAGGGGAGTGTTACGATGTGAAGTTTTATGAGAAGGCATTCCTGTATGCTGCAGGAGCCGACTCTACCGAGTACAAAGTTGAGGAGTCAGAAGAGCCGAAGCGACGCGGCAACCGTCAGACTAAGACCAATGCAGGCAGAAACATTTGAAGTGAAAAGAGCGGGAACAGGTTTTGAACGGGTTCCCGCGCCGCACGGTTTTGAATTCAGTTGTAATAAGGGAATGTACCCCTTAGAGTACATGGCTAGTCTAGGACCTTCCGTATTCCTTTGTACTCTTATATGAACTCAATGTATGCATGCTATTATCAACTCAGTCAATTACATTCACTCTGACCTGAGATTCAAACTTCCGCTGCAACACTACTCCGCGATCAACCCTGAGCGATCCTTTGCTAAGTCCAACTTGGGATTGTAACAAGGTGCATGCCAGGTTGCGTACACTTCTCTTAGGTTAAACAATGTCTCCCATAAATTTTCAATCTTTTCAAGATTCGATTCAAATTGGCACAAAAGGAATGAAATAGATGCAACTTCAGGCTACGCAATATTGGAATCGGAATGGTTAGCTCTCGATGCTCCATTTTCTGACGTCACTTAGTGCAACGATTGCACTTTGTTCGATTTTGACGCAAATTTCTGCTTTGCACCAACTCTTTTTGAACGAATCTAATGCTAGATCAGTTGTACTATTGACGCAGATGACGGACGTTGCGCGTGGCAAATCAGCAAACCCTTCGTGAGTGTTTGTAAATTTTGCCTCAACCAAAATTAATGTTTTGCCGTACATGTACATTGAAATAGGTGGTATGTGACAGAATCAACAAGGGTGATTGCACTAGGAAAGAGTTGGGTACAAGTAGGAAGCCCTTAACATATTGTACCCCATAGTCTCTACCCCACTACAACCTAAACAAACAGTAGCAGATATAACATTTGACACACCCCCATAGGCAAAGTGGGGGAGAGCAAGGGGTCACAAGACCAGTCAAGGAAGGCAAAGCAAGCTCAGGGTGGATCACAACGTCACCACACACTCTGAGCACAAGCAAAGGGCCACAAGGCCAGTTCACATGCAGAGGCATACATGCAACACAAACAGCACAAAGATCTCTACCTAGCAAAGCAAGCATGCAAGTCAATATATATATATACATATATATATATCACAGTACAAGCAAAG